CCTCTCCACTGTCGCCACAAGCATGCTTAGTGTGATGGATTGCTGAAGAGTCAATGAGTCGATGCAATCAGCTGGTTTTCCATATATAGAAAACTTTGAATCAATCTGACTGGATGATCTGGTGAACTGTAAAGTGCCTCGAGATGACATGTGTTGTAAATTGACGCTATAGAAATAAACTGAATTGAAACTTAATTCTCAACACACCTATAAAAGGAAACATGTTCAGGCAAAATCAGGCATAACTCTGTAGAAATTAGGTCTTCAATAATATTACGACTGAGCACCTTTATCCTTTTTCTGAAGACCTGTTTTTAGTTTCTGCTCTCACAGCGTTGTTGCAAACCTGTCAATACATGCAAGGCTGGTGGGAGTGATTTCTAAAAAAGGCAATGACTCGATACAATTAGCTGGGTTTCTTAAAAAACAAACTTTAAACCAGTCTGTGGACGATTTGACTCTCAACTGCCTTCAGATGAGGCATTTTGAATAACTAGGTGTATTACTTGTGCTCCTGATATCCACATTCATGCCTTCATCTGCGATCTGGAGCAGTTGAGATGATGAGAAGATGAAAAGCAGAAATGTTTTACCAGTTTGCCGGAGTCCATGGTCTCCTTCAGCCTCCTGCCGAGCTCCGAGCCAGAGGCCACCATGGCTCTCAACATGTCCCCTGTTGCCAGGTGGCAGACGCAGTATTTCTCTGCTAACCGCGGAGCCTGCAGGGACAGCACACATTTTTCATCATTACAGCTTCAACTAAGCCTGCAGCACATTCAGTGTCTCTGTGCTCAGAAAGAAAAGGATTATGTGCATAAATAGAGGTTATAAACATTAATTTATTCATTTGGGAACTAACCAAAGTTAATGGTTAGAACTGTAAATGTATAGTCATATTTACTATTTTTCAAGGATGCACTTTAAAAATGATTAAATTGTCCAGAGAGCTGCTTTCAAACGAAATTTCTTTTTGTTTTTACACTTGTGTAAACAAAATGACAAATACAATCTGTCTAAAACATAAAAACACATGCATGTTTATACAGGTGGAAGTCATCCAGGTTCTACATAAAGCTGTGACTGCTTGGTTTCTCCACCGTACAAGTTTAAATATGGTCCTTAATACTTTAAAAAAGGTAATTTCATGGTGTCATTTTAACTGTCTGCAACATTAATTTATACTTTTATAGTTTTAGTAAAATGAATTAACTTGAAAGGAACAGAACTTGTTTGGAACTTTTATATAAACACATTATCTTGAATATTAAGAAGCAAATAAAAGCCTAAACATAAACAATATAAAACATTTTCTTCTTTTTGAACATTATTTTACACAGAAATAAACAGATAATGCTCTAAAAGAACTTAAACTAAATTTTATTTTTAGATGAATAAAAAGCGTATTCAAACAGCCTTTATAGTCTGGCGGTGTCAAGGTTTAAAAACTTATTAAATGTATTATCGAGCATGCGCATAAGGGCTCTCTATCTCACGGCTAACAGCTAACATTAGCACTATTAGCTCGCGCTGAGGTTCACCTGAGTCCCTTTACCGGCTCCGGGAGGTCCGAGCAGGATGGCTCGGATGCCTTCCTGTACATCAGCTATCGCCTCCTTTAACTGGGCGCTGGGGGCCATGACAGCAACGTAGGCAAGGGGGGGGAACACCGAACCGTAACTTTCCAGAAGTCCTTCGGTGCAGCGGTACTGTCGCTACAGCCGAGTTAGCCAGAAAGAACGAAACGCCTCCTATCTTTCAATAAGGCATCTTAACCCCGCCCACACCGATGATAATACGGAATTCTATTGGTTTACACTGCAGTCAATCAACCGGTATCGTACAGGATTGGAGGACGTGTACTAAAACTCCCGGAAGGACCTTTAAAGGAATGCGCAGTATTGTATTACAATACGAGAGGAAGTGGGTTCGATTCCCGGTTGCATCAGGAAACCTTATCCGTCGTTAACAATTTGTCAAATCTATGAGTTTTACTGATTTGCTCTCCCAAAATAATTCTCCTATATGCATTCTTAAATTCTATTCTTAAATTCAATATATAATTCTTAATTTTATTGTAGGACCTTGATGAAACGATCAAAAGAAAACGTTTGAAAATAAAAACAATAACAACAATAATAAATAATAATAGCAAATGACTAAGAAAAAAGAAGAAAAAGAGCGTAAAGGGTTATATTTTCATATTTACACTTCCAGGATGTGTTATTCGTGAATATTTGATAAATTATCATTGATACCATAGCCTTTTCATCTTAATATTCTTAATAATTCAGCAAATTTTATTACAATTAATTAAATAATTAGGGGTGGCAAGGAGAAATCGATGTAATTGAAAGTATACACATATATGATAATAATCTAATAAAATACACTAATTATAAATAACAATTGATTTCATCAATTAGTTTTTTGAATATTTTTTTTAAATATTTGAATTTCTATGACGACTTAAAAGGTTTATTTGTAAACATGAAAAATAAATAATTTTTCACTGCACTGTTTGATAATTTATTTAAGTATATGACAATGTCAATGTCAATATATTTCCACTAGAGGTCAGTGCAGGTACTAAATTCTATACAGAAGACACCTTTTGGTAGCTTATACAGAAACTAAAACCTTATAAAAATGTGTTATTATACAACTAAGTAGCACTTCAGATTTTAAGGATGATACAATTCAACAATTGTTATTTATTAAGTTTTAAAAAGCATAATGACTAAAAGTACTTAATGCACACTGTTTTAAAGGTGTGTTTTGCATTGAGTTTGTCTACAAGTCCCTGTTTTGTTGTAACAAATAACCTAAAAGAAGGTGAGGTTAAAGGGGCTGGAAATGACCAAAAAAAAAAAAAAAAATTTATCACTCAAAATTACTTTAAAGAAATACGCTAATTATCGCTTATCATATGTTTAGGTTGCACTTGGCTGTAAAAAAAAAAAAAAAAAAGGAAGTAGAAGAAGAAGTCGAAAAATAAACTACAGATGCACTGAGCTAGAACAGTAAGGGCTGAAAAAAAATGCAATGTAATAAAATGCTGGCATTTACAGGAGAATAACTAACTAAACAGACAATTGGGATACAAAAAAAAAAAAAAAAAAAAATACACGAAAGGAGAGTTAAAAAAAAATGACCAAAGACACAAAGTGATGACTGAATGCAGAAATATGAAACAAACAGACTGAGGAACTTTCTTTAAAAATATGACACACATTACTCAAGAAACCACCACAGACTAAAAAGTAACCAAAAAAGAAGAGCAGTCAAATCTAAATTTTACAAACAAAAGCCATTCTAAATAAAACCAGCATACATACACTGGTATCTTTGGTCTCCCAGAGCAACATAGTCAATACTCTGCAAGAGAGTTGCAAGTGATAGCTTTGACCTCTTTGATCTTAAGGTGCAACCTTCTCTTTAACTGGAAATCAACTATAGCCCCATCCAGCACAAACTGGATAAATGTGGTCATGTCCATCCTGAAAGCGGAGAAAATTACATACACATTAACTGGAAACTTGAACAAATTCTACTCTAAATGGCAACCGTTTATTGACTTTGTTGCTTCGAAGTAGAACTGTAAACCCCACCACGAACCCATCTTTTTTTTAATTACTAATTTTCTTCCATTTTGTTTTACTATGGTAGTTGTTCTTTATATGTTCTTTGTTCTTGAAAACGTTTATCTTACAGTTAATGCTATAAACCAGGGATGTCGGGGTCTTATACACCGAGGACGAGGGAAGCAAGTTCACCGTAGACCGAGGGCCGGACTGGTTCTGTGTTTACTGAAACATATCGATATAATACATTTATATGTCTGGGATAAGGCCAGGTCAATAGTGATATGACAACAAACATTATAATTTTATTATAATAATTATTGTTTTCAAGTTTTGGTTCTAAAACATCGAGCCTGTCTACTAGTTCTACTTGATCTAAATCAGTAGTACCACTGAAACATAGAACAAGTCAGAGTAGTTTTGTGCAGTTCAGCTTCATAATCTATTTTATTACTTGTATCATACTTGTTACTGTCACAGTCTTGGTTCTGTTATGTTTTCTTTTGAGTATTACGTTTTACTTTGCTCCATGTTTTCTAGTTTTAGTGGTTCAATTTTATTTTGCTGTGTTGTCTGTTTATTTTTTTCAGTTTTCAGGTTTCTATTTTTTGCCCTCTGCTGCCCTCTTGTGTTCTCCTTTTTCCCTAGCTCATTTCCTGTCTGCTCTGTTCACACCTGCTCCCAATCTGCTAGTTAGTCCTCTCTTTGTCCTGTCTCCCATAAATACACTCTTTGTGCAGTTCCTCAGTGGCTGGTTCCTCATCTAATTTCCTCCAATTCCGTCTCACTGTGTCTTCCTCCTCGTGATCGTTTTCCCCCAGATGTCTCCATGGTTTCTGGTTTGTTTGACTTTGTTTTCATGTTTGATTTTTGGATTCCTGCCTCAGCTGTCTGTTTACCTTCATTAAATCAACAAGAAACTCACCTCTGCCTCCCTGCCTCTGCATTTAGGTCCTCACACCACAATTAAATCCTGACAGTTACAGTGTTCATATAATTGGGCATTTTTACATTTATTAATGTCTTTTATCTTCTGTCTAGGAACTGCAGGTGAAAATGTAACCTTATCTACAGCAATGCTAATAGTATTTATTGTCCCTGTAATAAAAAAAAAAAAAAAAAATACAGCATACATGGGGTTTGATAGTTTCACAGTCAGAGGACCAGTATTGGATAGAGATGGACGACGACGCACACGTGTCACCCTGCTATGAAGTCATTAATAGCATTAATGAAACTGACCTCAGACAAATCCCAATCGAAACTCTATCAACCCTCTACAAGTACTTTTAATGAAGCATCACCAATGTCCTATAATCCTCTAGCCTCGTGAGACCATCCTGATCTCGCAAGCTTTCAAGATTTCACTCGCTAATCAGTCTGGCTACTCTCCGTTGAAGAAAATTTGGAGCCATTCACCAAACGAACGTCCAATCAGCGTTGGCTTTGAGGCGGGTTGAGGTGTGACGCAACGAGAAGCGCGACAG